AGAGGACTATACGCCAGAGCGGCACAGGAGGCGCTTCGCTGTTGCCGCTATCGGTGTCCGCTGGCAGATTGTCGCAAGCATCAAGGGCCTCCGCCTCTGCAACAGTCAAAAAGTTCGTAAAGGGTTGTTTCGCGGCATTGATTACGCGCCGCACGGGCTGTGGAAGTGGGATTGCAGTAACGAGGAGCACGACGACAAAAGTGGCAGGGACGACGGCGGCCCAGAAATCGCGGGAGCAGGAAGAGGAGAAGGAGAGCAGGGACTGCTCGCTGCAGACGGAGAGGGCCATCCGCACGTTGCTGGCAAGTCCCAGGGCAAGACTAGCAGCGGCAATGAGGATAACAACGATGATGAACGGGGGATTGTCGAGCACACACCGCGCCCGTCCATACTTTTGAATGCGCGCGACTTGAGAAACGCCAGTCATCATCATGGGCCAGGGTCCTTCACGGTCTTGCAAGACCGCGCTCCAAATGACCAGAGTTCCTCGCGGTCTTGCAAGACCGTGCTCGTGAGAGTGCGCAATCTGTATCGTCAACTTGATGGTCTCGAATACCCGTACTCAGGGCGCCCCGTTTGGCTTGTTGTTTACTTTCTGACTGTCTTCGGTGCATTTGGCCGTACACTCATTAGATGTAATCGGGGAGCATTTGAACTATACCTGCGCTGTTCACGTCGCCAATTCAGTATTGCAGCTGGATTCGTCAGGAGCATATAGGAAGTAGGAGGTCCTCCAGAAGTTAGAGCCAATCAAACCCTGCGTCCATACCTAAAATTGTGGTTTATTTGGTTATAGACATGAGTTGCCGCAGCAGCAGGTAGCAGAAGACGCCTACCGATAACGACGGTCCACTAAGGGGCAATTGATAAGTACCAGGCGTCAGGTAAGTACGGATATCAGAAGCTTGCATCTAAAGCGAAGGTTGAAGGAACATCAAGGAAATATCTACTCTGCCCACAGGAGACCGGTGATACCTGGCACCAAGCTGTTATCGTAGTGCACCCAGAATATATACTCAGTCAACTGAGCAATACTGTGTAGTACATCATCCACAAACTCGTGGGATCACCACTAGTCCCCTGTGAGCAGCCTCAGAGTAGATACTTCCTTCGATCTTTGCTCTTGCAGGCTTCAAATATCCAGTTGCCACCAAGCCGCTAAACGGCGAGCCCCGCGCTCTGAGAAATCGAAGGCATTGGCATTTGGTGAGTATGGGCATCATAGCGCCGAATTCCGAGTCGTATCTATCAACAATATAGCTGGTGCCAAGAGTACTGCCAGTCTTATGACCACCTTGCTTCCATATCACCAGGACTCAACCACTGTCCGCTGACGTCATTATTCCGAAGTTCAGTCAGGACACTTCACCGTTGTCTTCTAGGAAGATGATCCCTCATTAGTTTGTATCATAGTCCCACCTTTGGCTTCAAGGAGCACATTCAACTTTTCGCAGCTACCGCGAAAAGGTCGCCTTCAGAGGATAGGACAGTCCATTTCAAAGAGCTCGCGCTATGTTGATGGTGACAGTTAAGGAAGACGACCGAACGCTTTGATTGTAGGTTCGTTACAGGTCATTCAGCGCTAGTGTGTCCAGACAGCTCTGGCACTAGCGGTGTTTGTCTTCGTTGCTATGTAACGGAGCATTTCATATACTGGCAATAATTTCCAGTGTTTCAAGACAGGGTGGTAGAGTACTTCATATATTAGAACAAGAAAGTCTACCTGCATTACTCAGGCATTTGATTTGTGCGTGGCATGTTTGCCCGGATGAGCTGTGGCCGTTCTCCCGGATACAACTTGAACGGCTCATTGTGGAACCTTTCAACTTGTTCATTATCTTGATTGACAAGTCCTCTGGTGACTAGCTGAATTCTTTTCGTTGTACCAAGCATTCAGAATGTATGGCTTACCCGCGTTCTGTCTCACCCTGAACATGATATTCCAAGTTTGTCGATCGGAAGCCCAGGTCACCAGCAGTTTCGACAAGCATTTAGCGAAGCCAAACACACTATCGTTATAGCGGGTGCCGGTTTGTCTGCTGGATTTGATGCAGGACGTAGCCCTTACTTTCATGTACTCTGCGGAAACTCTACTGACGGATTGCAATTTGGTATCCCGATGTTTTGAGATGGCAGTGGGATGACGCTCCCGGCTCTCAATTGGTCCCACCAGAGGCGATCACCGTGAACCCATTGCTCGCTTGGCAGTTCTACCATTATCGCAGGACAAAGTTGGGTGTTCATTTTTCAATCCGAGTTAGAAATTGACCCGTCAGATCATAGAGCTCTAAACGCACACTCGAAAGAAAACGGGGCTCAATGTGAAGCCTTTCCACTCGAGAACTCAGAATATCCATAGGTTATTAACCACACCCTTCCAATTTATTTCCAAGGAACTTTATTTCGAAAATGGCGACAAAAAAACACCGGCATCCGAGACTGGTATTCTGGGGATGCAGAGCAGACTCCTCAATATCCAGTACACCCAGCTCAGCTTCCACCAGGAGGACCACTTTGCAGCATTTTCTCCTGCTTTCGCTGCGTTCGGCAGCTCTATTCATAATTACCATGAAGCCAAAATCAAGGAGTTCGCAATCTCCCTTGACGAGCTCCCGCATTGCACAAAGTGCGGTGTTTCGGCTCTCTCTGGCGGCGTAGTCTGTTCGGCGCAAAGCCGCACCATCTAGAATAAATCAATAGCCTGGTCTTCGAAGCGGACATAATCTTGGTAATCGGCACATCATCAACAATGAGCAAGAATCAGGTTTTGCTGTTGTGCATGTTCCTGTTCGTTCAACAGCATGGATAGGTGCGTCCTGCATCTACCTATGTTTATCGTGTCAAGAAGCGAAGCGTTAAGGCTATCGTCTTAAACTTGGAGCCCAGCCTAAACTTGGAGCCCAGCCAGCAAGATGAAACTTGGTCTTCGTTGCTAGATACGAGGGGCGATTGCCTACTCTGTTTTTGGAGCTTCAATGAGCACAGTGTCAGGCTCTGATATATAGACAAATCTCGATTCATTGATAGTCAAGGCTTGCTGCCATGTGAAAGATCAAAGTACTGGAACGAAATGCCTCCTGCGAACTCGTTTTCTTTACTGGTGAAATCTCATTGAATTATGAGACAGCTGGATCCGGAGAATGATTCACCTGCAGTGTATATTCAGCCGGACAATCCTGCTATCCTACTTTCCTGAAAGCTTCATTCCGACTCAACGTGGGCGAATCCACAGCGACAACAGTATTTTGAACGAGGTAAAAGTCTCTGCAAAGATTTTTCCAGAGCGCTTTGCATGACTTGCTCGTAAATCTTCGCCTATGTTTTGGACCCGGAAAGATACAACCTTGTCAGACCAACGTTGCGGTCCGTTGGATCAGATCGCGGCCCTAAAGCGGCACCGACACGCTTGAATCACGTGAAAGCGCTTGATTACTAAGCAAACTAGCTGAAATCGTCGTCTGCAGCGGTGTCCTTGTCTCTCTCACAACGTTAACGATTCGCAAGTAATGGAGTCCCTCAATCTCAACACCCTCGTCAACTCACTCCCCCCTTCAAACCTGGCCAATGCGGAGAAGGAGCTTACTAACAACTTCAAGGGTATGTTTGTCTTTCTCGACGATATAGAATCGTTTTGACTCGACCTTAGCTGCCGCCCTGAGCCTCACTACTCTTTACCGTTCTTCACGACGCACTTCCAAGCGTGCATACAACGCTGGATACGCAGCGGCATGCCAAGATTTGCTGTTAATGATCCAGCAAGGCGTTTCTACGGGAGAATCAAGTGACTCCAATGGCCAGGGCATGACAATCGGCCGCATCATGGACTACATTGAGGCGCGCCTTGAAGCGATAAAGTCGCGGGAGGAAGAAGAAGATGAGGATGAAGAGAAGGAGCGTCCCAAGCCAACCTCTAATGTCGTTCCTGTACTTTCTGCCAAGCCGGGGGCATCTACCCTTGCCACCAGGAATGTGGCAATACCCTCGACAATATCTTCTAAGTCTAGAAGCCATGTAAGTCCCTTTTGCTGTACGAACGTAGTACGTTTCTTTAACAGTCATTCCTCAGCCCGCTCTAGCGCCTCCAACACCGGAAACTCCACTTTCTTTCACTTCCTCTCATTCGGGCCCATCCTCTCCCTCGCCGTTATCAACCGCCCCCCACCGTCCCATTTTGCCGTTGTCTCACTCGACGCCTCTTTCTCACCAGCGCACTTCGAAATCCCGACTGATCGCACTTTCCAACGCGAAGGAGACTTCGCTCCTGGGTCCCGCGCCGGGCGCTCCGTTTCCCTTCGAAGCGCCCAGCACTGCCGTGCTCCCGCCACCGGCTTCCGCGCCCTCTCCTTTCTCGGACGAGTCCCCGACCTCGGGCGTCGTTGACGCCACGGTCGGCTCGAAGCGCAGACACAATGTTATGCTGCTCGACTCAGCCATGACGACGAGCTCGCCTGACGGACTACCTCCCGCGCCTGGCGGGCCGTCTTCCGGGACAAACAAGCGGCGAACACGCAGCTCGCGCGGGCCTGCACTCGGGCTCTCGCAATTTGACCAGAACCAGGGCCAGCCGATGGACGCGATGGATATCGAAGAAGAGGGCGGGCGGGAGCGCAAGCGTGTCGCGCGGCGCTGACGGACCCAGGACGGACCAGCTTCTCGGAGCGTTTCTTGTGTGTAATAGGTAGAGTAGATGAGTGCAATGTACCGGTAGCGCGACATGTTCCATTCCTTCAACTGCATGGTTGACTTACAGGGTTTGCATGACTGCCAACGACTGCAATAGTGTATCTTTTTCCGCTTTCTTTGACCACAATATGCCTAAGGTTATGCACTACGCCATATCATCGCTGTAGGTAATACATATACTTGATTTATTGGTTTCATTACTTCAGGTGAGGTGTGAATAGTCGATATGTTTGCGTCTAGCGCAAAAAGAGAGCGTTGCTACGACTCGAATATGTCTCATGCCACAGTCAGATCCTGTTCTACATCTTAGACGCCGAACATTACCCCTGGACTGGCTCTTGCATAGTACGATGTGCCTGTGTCTGTCAGCGCACCCCGTCGGGCAGATTCTCGCAGTATCGATCGGGCGCCTACTTCCAATCGCTTGCGTAAGTTTTGAGCGCTTTATGAAACCTCTCTTATCTTTTCTCTTGATCTCAGACCTGAAACAAAACAATCAAAACAACACAAAATGACCGACGCAGGGGTCGAACCTGCAATCTCCTGATTACAATGTGGTGGTCCCACCCTCTTAGTCGTAGTCAGACGCGATGCCATTTCGCCAGTCGGCCATGCTTCTCGTGTTCTCAGAGGCCAAATGTGTCCTGAAGATGCCCTCGGGGAAGGCACGCATTTAGCTCGCACGATGATAGCTATGCATGTTTTTCCGAACCCAATATCGAGGAGTCGAATATAGATCTTCAGTTCAAGGAGTCGTACTGGACGTAACTTCTCTGCTACTACTCAGCACAAGTAGGGCCGAGTGAGGCACCTCGATTGTATTGCGCATGCAGCGCAGCCTAGTCGTGGTCACTAACCAGGCAGCCCAAAGAGTGGCATCTGACGCGAGAGACGAGCAATTCACCCAAAGGATTTAGCGCGGGTAGCTTTGAAGGGCACACGGAGCATCTATACCAGGGTGGTGGTTAGATGTGATATCCGTGAGTCTCCCTGGCTTTCCAGAGTCCGGTGCCTGATGCTCTCGGGCGGACGGCAGCTTCGTGGAAGAGAACGTGCCGTATCTCTCATCTATAAGTACTTTAACCTGCCCGACCAGGATTAGTGCCACTGGGGTTCGAGAACAATACGTTGCGCAATTGGAAGCACTCACTTCGCAGCCTGCAGCACCCTAGTACACACCAAGGCTCTGTTGAATCTCAGTGGGTGTGGTATTTGAGAATTTGAGCGACGTGCGGGGAGAGCTCCTTGAACAACGCGGATCTGATGTCACCAAGCCGTGTTTGCACCGTAGACGGGCTGATCGGGCACAGCGCAGGACGCGTCATCGCGGCATGGGTATCTCAAGCTGTAGGCGCGTTCAGTACAGTGTCATCACAGATACGGAGAACGACGCGCTGACTCAACAGTCGTCTGGTCAATCCTGCCACATAGGCGCCCGAATGGCCAACATTGGATCAAGCAGACAATAGTAGAAATAGCCGTATGATTAGCTTTTGCTGAGGACGGCAAATGGAAAACTGAACAATCTCTAATCCGTGCCCGCACGCCAGTCTGGCCCTTCCGTTGATCGTGGCTGCGGGGCGCGAGGTGGCTCACTGGCGATTCGGAGGGCCCATCAATGCCAGACCCTGAAGGCCTGATTAACGGTACCATCGAGCATTGTTCCCTGATAGCTTCGTGTTTCTAAGCGAGCTTTTGTGTGCGGAAAGCCACACCACAGTGCGCACTTGCCCGGTGGGTGTCCATAATTCTTAATACTATCAACCACGGTGATTGAAGAAGCATCGGTCTGCCCACGGGCACGAACGCGTTGCTAGAAGAATGTCTGCGGTGAAAATCTGCGGTGGTACTGAGCATGGAGGTTCTGAATTCCAAAGCTAATGCCAAGTGATAGTGCTGGTTGGCTCGACTAGAGACGCGGCCGTCGGAGACTGGGGTCATGTGACGCACGCTTTTCCGATCGCGATCGCAGGCGCAGCCACAACGCTGCTACGCTGCTTCTCCTCATCCACGTCCTCGCTTTGGCTCTCTAAACAAAAGGCCTGCAACGCTTTTGGAACAAAGCGGACCCATCTAGATATCTAATCTGGCCCCATGATGCTTCTGGAATTCTGGAGTACCCCCACTAAGTGGCTGTGCTCGCCTGAACGGTGCGACAGCACAACTCGAACATACGCGTCGTAGCGGCGCGGGTAACATGGAAGGGTGTGTTGGATGCCATACTTTGGAGAGATTATGGTCTGTTCGCATCTGCTGTTGCTCGAAAAACGCGTCGAACGCGTCGACATTAACTGCGGTAGATGGCTTCTTCAAACGGCGGGCGCTCACTAGACGTGGCTCGTTTAGTGCTTGAAGCGAATTCGAGGATGGGGTGAATCTATTTCCAGCATCCTGCTGCGGAAAGACTAGGCCAAAATGATCTCGATATCGGACTCACGGCTGTGGTCCACTTCGTCAGCTCGCTTCTTGGGGTGCTCGTCAAAATTCCCCAGGCATCTGTCGATCTGTACCATATATGTTCTGTTCTTGGGCCCTTCTGCGAGAAAAAATACAAGCCCTGTAATAAAGGCAAATGTCTATGCTCTCCAGGATGCTATCGAACGAAACCTTTGTCGAAATGCGGTTGTCTGACTGAGTTGCTTCGATGCGGTCATCTTTTCAACTCTGTTTATTCCCTTTTGGAGATGCGTACACACAGACCTCCATGAAGGCCTTGCCACCACCTACCCACTACCACACCGTTGGTTGCGCGCTTTGATTCCGATCGCTTTGGCTGTGGACTGTTGGACTGGCCCGCTTTGTTCGTGGATAGGGTCTACTGTTGCTTTTCTATTCCCTCCTGATATAAATTCGTGCAAAAGAGCAATGGGTGCCTCAGTACTCACCGTCTGTGATGCGTATCCTCCACTCAAAACTTGGCCTTAGTTCCCCTTCCCTCAATGTTGATTTCAAAAGCTTGGTAACTGCGGGAAAAGGCGATTGTTTCATTCTCGAAGACGATCAGCTTCCCTTGATACCTGAGAGGTTGGCTCCTTTCATCAATAGGCATAATCAAAAGATAGCTTCCGTTGGCTTTCAACTGAGCACGGATGATTATCATTTGGATTTCCCGGTACCACTTCGTAGCCTACTCCCTCAGCTTGGCAGGATCTCCAACTGTCGAATTCAACGAGGAAGTCAAGCAATCAGACGAAACTGGGGCTCTCCGTTCATTTTGATCAGTCTTCATGTTTGTGATTTCCTCGCTGTCATGAGAATTATTCTGAAAATCTCGCTACAGATACCAGGCTATCCTGCAGAAACTTCAAGGGCCATAGTTGTGCACGTCTTAAAGGAACAATCTGTCGTGACTCGAACCGAACTGGCAACTCAGGTTGCTAATGGTTATTTGGAATCGCTAGAAGTAAGTTTCATCATTGAGTGAATTAACGGTCTCCTCATAGTCTCTGGTAGTTGTGCGCAATGTCAGAACCTGGACAATCGGAGGCGACAACTCGCTTCAAAGTTATTTCGGCGGAAGAAGCTATATCTAAGCTCCACTTATGCTCACTTACTCAAGTTTTCGGAAATGTCTTCCGAGCACAGATTCTTGTGATCAACTAAAACCTCATCCACGCCAAGTCTGAATATTTTTATTTTCTATATAATCCTGACGAAGTTATCCTCTTTGTAATCTCTAATTAATATGACAAAGATCCGCGTCGGCCATGTAGCATACCCGTGTATTTTACCCATTCTGGTCGATTCGCACCAACTATTATCCTAAGAGCTATTTGCAAAATTGAAATCCCGTACCGCGCACCGAACTGTGTCAGGACAATCATATGTCATCCGCCAAAACTTGAATTCGATATTAGATTCCGAGCGGTAGATGCTAAACGTGCCTAATCGTGACAATTCATGTCGCGCAACAATGTGACAGCTTTAGCCGCAAAGCGCAGAGGACATGGTGCTGTCGAACCGAAATAATGTTATTTCTAGAGAGAGTATCAAGCAGCTTGTCCAGAGCTTCCCGAGCTTCCCAGAGATCGATGCGACATGCGGTCTCCTTCTCGGACGAAGACAACAGTCGCCTCCGTGGGTTCAAAGCAATTTCTACTTGAGAGCGCAAAATTGTACATGGAATTGCGAGCAGTTCATCATCTGCAGCATGTGTGTGCGAGGAGGCATTTCGGCTATGAGGGTAGTCTGAAGAAGTCTCACGCAAGGCAGGCGAAGATAACTGAGTAGGAGATACCGCAGGTTCTTCAGAGGGACTTCGCGAACTCAAAGTTGGTGACAAGGGAATGAGATTGAGAAAACCACGTGCCGGGTCAAACATGATAGGCTTCTCTAATAGTTGACATCAAGGCATAGTGCATGCATAAATGAGCAAGCAGGGAGAATTTTATATAGAAAAGTTAACGTACCATGTGATTTTTTGCCATAGCTGTTATTGTGTGCGCAGACTTCGGACAAGGGTATAGCATTTCGTCGCTGTTGCGGTGTAATATGAGCAAAATCAGTGTCCTCGTATATAGGGATCGCTTTGATGCCAGTTGTTGATGTCATATAGAATTTAGGGCGTTTTATCGCCTCGGCCGTAGGCGAAGGTTCGCTTCGCGAAGGAAAAGACAGAGTCTGCAATGATGGACTTGTTGTATCGTCTTGAGCATTTAAGGAGGGATGCAGGGCGACCGGCCTGTATATTGGTTGGTCTGCAGACATGGTTGGGACGTAGAGGCGACCCATATCCAAGACGGGAATAATAGGTCGACCAGTAGTTGCTCTGTAAAGAGCAGAGGATGGGTCTTTCCAACGCGTGTCGTCTTCGAGGTTCGACGGCAGCTCCTCTATTACCTGATCCCATTCATCATGTAGATAGCCATTGAAAGGTGTGAACTGTTGTCCAAATGCCCGCAACTTGATTTGAGTTTCTCCCATCCTGCAAATCTTGCCTCCACGTATTCCATGTCGCCTCTTGAAATTACGAACCCAAGTTGAACTAGCTTTAAAGACGTAAAGGGGGTTGTGAATGATACGACTCCAGATTTCTTTGGCCCGCGTTATGATGAGCGAATCCGTGAAAACGACTTGCTCATCCTTCTGCATGCATTGCCTCAACCAATCTCGCATGTGCCTTTCAACAAACTTAAAGCTCCAGTCTTGCCAATTGCTTCACTTTTGTCAGCCAGTGAAGTTGTCATACGCTGGGATAATGACGCACGTCGATCTGGAATGCCTGTCAGATCCAATCAGATCTGGATTACCCCACCTCTTCATATTCTGCAAAGTCCTCCACACCGATGTCTTATTTATGCTAAAGTGACAAGCAATAGCTTCACAAGTTGCGCTAGGATGACGCTTCTTGTACGCGCATATATTCTGGCGATCTAGAGTCGAGATATAGGCTCTGAATCGAGGGCGTCTAGAAGTTGGACGCTCTGTCTTCGTCTGTCTCAAGACAGAAGAGGAGTCATGGGACGAAGTAGACAGGGAGAGTCTGAGTGTGTCGGTATCCGATAGATCATGATTTGACTCCTACGACAAGGACTTTAGTTTATTATGCTGGTAAAATCCAGCCAACTTACTTCAGCTGGAGTAATTCCCATTTCTCTCAGCATCTTTGAGATAGAAATTGACGTAGTTAGTGCCATTGTGTAGCTTCTCTTGAAGTTGCGTGATTTAGCCGGAATAGACGCATTTGCCGTGTGCTGTTCGCGATTATTGAAGCGTTGCAAGGAGGGTGTGTGGGTTTTGTATGTCGATAAAGCGCTACCATCGTGAGCTTCCGAATCTCGAGGAGACAGTAAATTGTGCATTGCTGGCTTGCCGCTTGTGCACAGAGTGTCAGATAAAAGACGTTTGCGTACAATGACAGCTTTGAACCAATATGGTTCATCTACAGATCCGATTAATCGGACGCCACTTACCGCGAACGACAACACCGTGGGAACAACAAGATGTCCGGACGAGCAGAGGAAGCCGAGTCAATGAATCACCAGAGCGACGGTACTAAGAATTGCACATACGTACCTTGTCCAAGTACCAGAATCAATTTTGACAAGAACCTCAACACTACCCTCGCACCAACCGCCCTCTCTCTTCTTGGTTCAATCAATCACCAAGCAGTCTCGTCGTCGAGGCGGTGAGTGCAGTACAGAGGGTTGACGACCCACAGCTTCAAACTCATTTTCGCCGTTTTGAGCGTACTATTCCTACACTCTCAAGTGGAAGAAATTCATACATCATCGCAACATTACTCGCCGCGCCATATCTTGCCTTATAATCCAGTCCAACCCGCTAGGAAGGTACTTATTGAGGACAGAGTATTGCTCACAATCAAATCTACGTTCTTGCAAGGGATCACTTGAACCTGATGTGGCTCTGGATTTCTGACCCTTTTGGCTATAGAGGCGTTGGTCGCAACTAAGGAGTGCCAGCGATAAAATTTAAGTTCTTGTAGGAGCATATCTGTTGACATTTGAAGGTAGAGATATATGCCCTTCATAAATCGGAAACAATATGCCGAATTCTGGAACCCTCTGATGATCGCGCAGGAAAGTGAGGAGGTATTGGATGAAGCGGATAGAGGATGTGTCCCCAGTAGATGTACCTCTAGGCACCGTAAATGGCACATTGGTGTCAGGACAATCCCTATCTAAGCATGTCACATACATGATGGTGACTGTGGCATTGTCACCGCTTCTTGAACTCCAACCACCACCATCTCTTTTAGGTGCCCACCTATGTCTCACATCCCCACTACTTCCCTCCCTACTGGAGCTCCCCAAATCATCACAGAAGATAGGACACCCTGTCCTATGAGCTGCCAGACCTCCGAGTTGGGTGGCCTGAGTGGCACCCAATTCAATCCCTACCCCCCAGTGAGGTCACGTCCGCTGTCTTGGACCTCTTCTGAGGGTGCTGGAGAGGAACCCTTTGCGGGTGTTAAGGGACCTAACAACTGAGGATCAGGAGTTCAACTGGTTAATTGTTACTAGGACTAATACACGCTGATAGGCCCGCGTAGCGCATGGGCGCGCCTCGAGCCGGACTCAACCTTTGAAACTTTCGAAGTTTACGACTTCGGTAATGACTGCGCTATCTCGACACGAGAGCGCCCTCGAGCAAGGCCCGCCCTTCGACATCTTCGAAGCCTCGCGATCTCACGACGATCCGATCGGGATCTTTCGGTGGCGGCTTTATTCCGGGGGCTCGACTTCGAAGACAAAACACCATCATCTGGAGATAGGGACGTACAATACAGGGCCGACAGGTAAACCTTTAAGTCGATGCGCTCGGGTCGCAACGCCAAGACTCGCGACGGTTGGGCCTCCAAGACTAGCAGGAATAGCGCGGCGGACGGGAATCGGAAACTG